AAGGGGGGAGAGATGTTCTCTAATGTTTCTGCGATGAAACTTGTTAAAGTGATTGGATATAATTAAAAAGTGTTAAGAAACTTTGATAAAAAAAAAAATCTTAGCCTATCTGTTCAAGACAGATTTGGTTATAAAATGGAAGACTAGTTCCATTATCGTATACCAGTGGTCCGTGGGTGGAGCCAAAACATTCTGTATGGTTAGTGGTATGCCGTTGGTTTCCAGGTACTCTAGTAGTGGCTTACGAGCGGGTTTCAATTCAGTGCATTGAATGAGGATATGCGACCTTGTGGCAACGTGGCCGCAGCGACATTTAATGGCGTTGAACTGATGGTCTCGTAGTACGTTGTTGGTCCGGAGTCTGGTTGCCACTTTGCAGATGGCTACACATGGATGGTTTGGTTTGGTTTGGTTTGGTATCTTCGGATCAATCTGGTATCTTGCGGTGTCGAGGTTCCGTAACATGTCAGACCATTTCTGGTTGATCCTAGAAGATACGATACTGCAGAACTCCGAGTAGGAGTATTCTACAGGCTCGATATCCTCCAGACTCAGACTTTCTTTGGCACAACGGTCTGCTTGATCGTTGCCAGGAATGGAGACGTGCGATGGAACCCATACTAATTCAATCTTCTGGTTGTTGTTGGTTTGGTAGTTGTGGATCATTCTTCTTATTTCGGAGATAACTTCTGACCTACAATTAGAAGAGGTGACAAAAATAGATTGGAGGCTGCTTAGCGAGTCGGATAGAATCGCGGCATGCTCCGTGTGATTGACGGACAGCCATGCTACCGCGTCCCTGATGGCAAAAAGTTCTGCTGTGAACACTGAACAGTGCGGGGGGATCCTTTTACTGATGCGGATGCCTTTTGCTGGGATGCACAAACCGTATCCTGTTGCGGTACTAGTGAACACGCGCGAAATTTTCCTTTTATACTCGAAAATGGAGTCGAAAAATAGGATCGAAAGCTTTTCTCGTGAAATAGCGCGGACTTGATAGTGAGCACCGTAGTTTTCGACTCCATTTTCGAGTATAAATAGTGTTTTTAGTCGTCGCGTTCGCTTCATTCAGTTACTAGACTTTCGCACGACGACACCGTCTCACTAACTAAATTCACATCATGTCTGGACGAGGAAAAGGAGGAAAAGTAAAGGGAAAGAGCAAGACCCGATCATCCCGGGCTGGATTACAGTTCCCTGTCGGTCGTATCCACCGTCTGTTGAGAAAGGGAAACTATGCCGAGCGAGTCGGAGCTGGTGCCCCAGTCTACTTAGCCGCTGTTTTGGAATATTTGGCTGCTGAAGTTCTCGAGTTGGCTGGTAACGCTGCCCGTGACAACAAGAAATCCAGAATCATTCCAAGACATTTACAGTTGGCTATCCGAAATGACGAGGAATTGAACAGCTGTTGTCCGGAGTAACCATCGCTCAAGG